CACCCACACTCACTCACCCACACTCACTCACCCACACTCACCCACACTCACCCACACTCACTCACTCACTCACCCTCACTCACTCACCCACACTCACTCACACTCACTCACTCACCCACACTCACTCACTCACCCACACTCACTCACTCACCCACACTCACTCACTCACCCACACTCACACACTCACTCACCCACACTCACTCACTCACCCACACTCACTCACTCACCCACACTCACTCACTCACCCACACTCACTCACTCACTCACCCACACTCACTCACCCACACTCACTCACCCACACTCACTCACCCACACTCACTCACCCACACTCACTCACCCACACACACACACACCCACCCACCCTCACTGACCCACACCCAACCACACACACAACAGTTTTTGGGACCTGGCAATAGGCTGCACAGGCCTGAGCGCTGTCACATGGGGGAGGCCACCTGCTTCCCCATACCTGGAGCCCTACTCCGTTAGGGCATTGCATTGCAGTAATGCACCTTATACATGTTTGTGCATTGTTATGCTATTCATTTTAAGTAGCACCCCAATGCACCTTCACAACACACCTGCTAATTAGTGCATACAACACATGGTAATGCTAACTACCATGTGTTGTTGTGCATTGCATCATGAAAGAAAGGCATAGGTAAATTTTTCTGTGTGCTCTGGTGCGTTGGCAGCACATTTAGAGCAGATTGGTGTGAATTGTCCCTTAGAGCAATGGGAGAGGGATCCAACAAGTTGAAAAGCAGTGAGGGAGCTAGGATTCGTGAGTATATCGTGGAGGGGCTGGGCTATTAGGTGCACTGTCACTCTGCCCTAAATTGGCACATTAAAGGAGAACTATGGGGTCAGTGTTTTTCCCCATAGTTCTCCTTAGGGTAACGGGAGGACACAAACTAGCGTCCATAACACTTTATGTCCCACAGCTTTGAAAATGTCTTTGTTGATTGACCATGCGTACACACTGAGTGGCCAGATTATTATGACCACCTGACGTTTCTAGGCAAACTAGCTATAGTTTCGCGCTGAAGTTGCTAGAGGGCCAGACCATTATAAATAGGGAAGCAGGTTGTTTATCACGACAGTAGAAGTGATTTTTTTCTGAAGATACGGGTAAACAACGCGATTGAACAGCCTTTGAACGTGGGATGATTGTTGGCACTCGGAGCCATGGAGCGAATATCAGCAACACAGCAGAACTTGTTAAATGTTCAAGAGCAGCTGTTGTTAAAGTGTTTAAAGACTGGACTGTCAGCCGAAAATCTGGGTCTGAACGTGCGAATTGTGGCCGTCAGCGACTAGTCAATGTTAGGGCAGAACGGAGAGTGGCAAGACTGGTACAAGACAACAGAAGGGCAACAGTGCAGTGTCAGATTCCTCGCATCACCTTTCAACATCTCGGGGAGTCACGAGGCGGCCCAACAAAGTCATCTGGTGGAGTCATCTCGTGGCCCAACGCAGTACTGATGGGGTGGTCATAATAATCTGGCCACTCAGTGTATATCCTGTGCAGTTTAATGTTTTATAATTCCTGTAAATGCTGCTAGTAAGTTTAAAGGAACCATGTACTCAGAAAAGGAGGGTGCTATTGATGATCTCCAACTGTAAATGCTATTACCAGGCTGTCGATGTCTTCAATGGTATCTGAGATATACTGACCTGAAGCAAGCAAAGTTTGAGTAAGGCCAGAATGCTTGAACTACTTTTTTCAGGCAAGTGGTTCAGAAAACATTAAAGACAGTGATTTAGTAAGACAGCCAGAACACCAGCATTTTTAAGAGGGGAGCTCAGGAAAGAGAGGTGCCGTTTTCCCCCAGTGCAACGTTCCTTAAAATGATTCCACTAATGCTTTGTAATGTATTTACTGTGTTTACCACCAGGGGGCAATATAGGATCACCCGAGAGCATGTAACAGGGTCAATAGATTCTTCTGCATTAGTTATATTCTGCATTTCTGTTATTTTCTGAATTAGTTGATACTTTTTGATAGTTGTTTTCCCCGCTAGAGTGACGCTACTCTGTTTTATGATTATCTTTGTTGTAAGATAATATCTCCACTGTTTTAAAATGTACAGTGTTTTATATTATTGTATGGGGAGAACTACTAAACTTGTTTAGTAAGGAAGAGGGTAAGGTATAGCAACCGAAACAGATTCATCCTACAGTGCATCTAACAAGTCTGGTTGCTGTTGGCAATTGTACAGTGCATCAAGAGACCCTGTTACCAGCTTTAAAAATTGAACAAAAGTCCAAGTATTTTAAATTCTTACTGGCAGACTTTTTTTCCTTCCCATAAATTGTCTTTTTATTCACTTGCAATATACCTCTGAACCTACTAAAAAAAATGTGACTACTCCAAAAAAAGTAAATTCTCAGGAACAGGCCCCTCCTTCCTTACACGTTATAATCCTCTCCTTTTTCTGGGAGTTTCTAATGACACTCTGTGCTGGCCCAGTTCCTCCGCCCCTTCCTTCACCTCACTTTATAACTCTTTATATTGCTGCAAAGTTGAATATTATAGAATGTCAATTGAGTGGCCACTGTTAGTCTAGTGGGACTGGTGATTTCACATCCAAGAATCAGGACTCTTAAAGCGGACCTTTATACTCAAATATCAAATTCTAGCAATGCATCCTTCTATGTATGATGATTAATAATTACATTGACATGTCAGGTGTAAAATCCTGTGATTTTGAAATACTTGCAGAGCATTCACTTCCTGCTTTGAAAGTGCAAATTACTTAAGTTTGCCAAAGCAATGCACACTGGGATTGCCTTGTCATCAGCAGAGCATTGCTGATAAATCTCATCTGTAATCTCAGGAGATCTCAGGGAAAGGCATTACCTCCCCTGAGATGATGTGCATGGTCACATGTCCTAGTGTGCCAGAAATCCAGGAAGTAAAAGGAGATCTAGTAATCTGCCCTTAGTAAACATGGCCACTGTCAGAAGACTGGGGAAGAAAAGAGAAATAAGGAATGCAAAGAATACAAAGTCGGCAATTATCTAGAAGTATGTGTTTGTAGATTGTCATTACTAAACATTTCTAAAGGTGTGTTTGTTGTTATTTTAAAGATATGGGTAAAGGTCCGCTTTAAGGCTATTGGATGTCTATGCAAAGGATGGTTTTACAGGTCTATAACGTGCATAGAATATGTAAAATGCACATTTAATATTACAAAGATTTTTGTTAAAATGAATGGTCTGGCAACAGGGTCTCTTTAAATCTATCAAGGTTATTCACAAAAGGGTGAAGAGTTTGGAGAAGGCAGGAGAAGTGAACAATCTAGGACAACTTAGCCGATTTGATAAAATTCTCCAATCCAGCTCACTTTCCAGCTCAGCTATGTTGTCCTAGATTGTTCACTTCTCCTGCCTTCTCCAAACTCTTCACCCTTCTGTGAATAACCCTGTATGTTTCCTGCACTGCACATATACTCTCTCTCTGGTTCTGAAGTGTAATAATAACCCTTGTACTATTACATCACTTTGGATGTGAATCTGCTAAACTTTTTAGCTGTGGTAGTCATTCCTAAATGCATGCTGACTAGTTATGACATTACTCTGTGCCCCGCTCTGCAGTTATATTACTGGCCGCAAATCCCCCTATGTAACTGTGCATGGCCTTTTTATAAAGCACTTTGCTGCAGCTTATTAATATTCTGCACACAGCGGATAGCTAATATTTTTTAATAAAAGGAATTCGGTATTCCTTACTTTTCTTTTCTGCAGCAGTGGCTCTTCTTGGCTCCGGGAAATAATGAATAGACGATGATATCATGCAGATTATAGCACCTCAAAACGGTCTTGTTTGTTAATACTAAAAATGGCAATATGATTGTTTTGCAAGCGTATGCCAGGTATATTTCTCAAGGCTAAAAGTATGTGTCCAGGGCGCATGAAATAGCTAGATTATATCAATGCACATAATCTTTTATTGGCCATATTTTAGCTGCTGCGATTCAGCAATTAATTCCCAAGAATACCTTTCCGGGTCTACATAGCCAAAGAGCCAGTCAGTCATATCACTTAAAATATTGCTGCCATAGACTGATATCTGACCTTCATTTTATTTTGAATCATTTTTATTACATTTGCAAGTACAAAACAAAGAAGGTTTTCTATCTTTATTTCTAATGAGGTCAGTAGATGACCAACTTTACAGGCTTTTCAAAAGGCTCATCTTTTCTACGAGTTT